AAAAGATAAATATGTAGCACACCTGGGCTCTGCGGCTCACGCCAGTAATCCCAGCTCTCTGGGAGGCCAAGGCAGGTGGGTCACCTGAGCTCAGGAGTTGGAGACCAACCTGAGCAAGAGTGAGATCCTGTCTCTACTAAAAATAGAAAAACTAGCCAGGTTTTACAGCGGGTGCTTGTAGTCCCAGCTACTCGGGAGGCTGAGGCAAAAAGATCATCTGAGCCCAACAGTTTGAGGTTGCTGTGAGCTATGATGTCACAGCACTCTACCCAGTGTGACAGAGAGGCAAGGCAAAGGCAAGACGGAGTATCAACAAGCAAGTCTTAATGTCTGACTTATTGGACCTGTTCAAAACACAAGGAACATGGCCCGAGCAGAAATTATCCGGAAACCATACGGGGTGATTTTCCAAAGATGAAGACCGAGCTCAGCAGACTGAAAGGCTTCCCTCAGTGCTTAACAATAATAGTTCTTGTGTGTGTGTTTTCACAATTATACTCATAACAATAATTTTTCAAGGAGCTGTACTGAGGTATATGATACACAGTTTAATTTTTACTAAAACTAAAAATTTATTTTTAAAAAAGTTACATACACTATTTTAGGTGCAGAAAGTACACTTAAGAAATTATGTAGACTTCTTTTAAAAATTAATTTTTTATTTCAAAATAGGAGTTTGAAGACTTCCACGGTAGTTCTAGTGGGAGATGACAGCAGCTTGGACCAGCGTGGCAGAAGAGAAGAAAGTAGAGGGATCCGATTGAAATCGCAGCTGAGGACTTGCTGATGGTTCCAGTGAAGGTGAGAGCTCAAGGTCGCCCCTAGGGGGTTTGATTTAAACAACTGGCACTTACTGAGAAGAGAGAGAAGAGGTCTTTAAGGAGAAAAGCCATAGTTAAAATGTTAGTTCTTTAATAAAATTTGGCTGGCTGATGGAAATTTGACATGGAAGATAAAATGGATAAAAAAGAACCAAAAACAATCATGAAAAATAAGCAATTAAAAAAAAGAGTGGGGTGGCTCAGCGCCCGTAGCACAGTGGTTACAGCATCAGCCACATATACCAAGGCTGGCAGATTAGAACCCAGCTGGGCCAGCTAAACAACAATGACAACTGCAACAAAAAAATAGCTGAGTGTTGTGACCAGCACCTGTAGTCCCAGCTACTTGGGAGGCTGAGGCAAGAGAATCAGGTTTGAGGTTGCTATGAGCTATGATGCCATGGCCCTCTACCGAGGGCATCATAGTGAAACTTTGTCTCAAAAAAAAAGAAGAGTGGGGTAGGAAGTGCAGAAACAAGTATATACACATACACACAATTATGCATACAGATATGTTTGCTGGTGATGGCAGCGTGTCCTTGTTTTTAAACAAAAAAATCTCTGTATCTCCTACTCTTCCTTTGTAGGTAGAGGTGGGTGAGTATTAAGGTTGGCTGAGCAACAAGGCATGAGAAGGCTGGAGTTTGAGGGGGTTGGAGGCACCATGTCTGGACCATCTCCCTTTAGATTCTTTTTTTTTTTTTTTTGAGACTGTTTCACTATGTTACCCTTGGTAGAGTGCTATGGCATCACAGCTCACAATAACCTGAAACTCCTGGGCTTAAGCGATTCTCTTGCCTATTGTGTTTCCCTGAAAATAAGACTTACCCCCAAAATAAGCCCTAGCAGAATTTCTATGCATTTGTTAAATACAAGCCCTACCCTGATAATAAGACCTAGTAATGGGCGTGGCTATGAGCATATCTCCACAACCGAGCCATGCATTTCAGTGCAGAGCGGTAAGGAAGACTGGGATACCTTTTATCTGCCACAGCTCCTTTCTCCAAGACATTTACACTTGGGCGGGTGCACATGTGGTAACCCAGGTTGCAGGCATCCTATTGCACATGTGCCAATGGCTAGGGGAAAGGAGTTCACACATCACTAGCACCAGTCCCACCAACAAGGTTGGCTCCCCCTGTCAGGTTCCAGAAGATGACTTAACTATATTTGAATAAATGTAGATTGTTTTATTATA